ACAGACACACATGCTACTTACATGTCACCCCTTAAGCGTCAAGTACCTCACACTGCCATGAGGCCGTCACCATCGCCAACACCAGGACCTCATCTTCCCAAACTGAAGCTCCGCCCCCCTGAACACCAGCCCCGCCCCTCCCCCAGCATGGGCCCCACCGCCCTCCTTCTGTCTGATTTGATCGCTCTGGGAGCCTCAGGGGTGGAATCGTGCAGGATTTGTTCGTTTCTGACCCGCTTGTCTCATGTTGCAGGATGTCCTTCCTTTTGAAGGTGACAGATACGCCATTGAGTACATATACACACACCACATTTTGTGTCTTGTTTTCTCCAGGGGAAAAAAATCTGTGTCTAGATTTTAAATATTTCGTGTGTTTCATTGGACCAGACCCTGTGCATTATTCTCGTGTCTTGCTTTGTTCACTTGCTACCCCCTTGCTCTTTCCCTGTCGGAGCAGTGCTTGGTGTGTAGCAGACGCTCGGTGAGCGTTTACTGGCTGAGTGGCCGTCAGGCCTTCCCTGTATCGGCCCGTGAATCGCCCCGAGGGCACGTGCCGCAGCTTGCTCGCCCCGCCTGCCACCGTCCCGGGGTTTTGGCGCCGGAGCAGGTGCTGCCTGAGTCTTGCCCGCTCGCTGCAGTGAGTACGTCCGCAGGGTGAGTACCTGACCCTGGAACTGCTGCTCAGACTTAGATACTGCGACTCTCACCCCTCGCACGATTCCTGCAGGGGGCTTGGGGCTGGGTTTTTGTTGTGTGTTTGTCTCTGTGGTGCATGAAAATAACTTCCTTCACGCCCCTGCCAGCATCATCAGCCTTTAGATCTGGTCCGCCTGGTGGGTGGGGAAGTGGTATCTGTTTGGTTGGACTCACGTATTTGAGTCCCGGTTGACGCCGAGTACTTTTCACGTGTCTCCTGCCTTTGTGTCCCCGGCAGGAGCCTTTGCTCTCCTCCCGGCTGCCTTGTCTGTCTTTGTCTCTCCTGGTTTGTGTCAGCTCTGTGTCGCCGTATCGACAGCATTTTCCTCTTTGTCCTTTTAATCTGCACCCGTGGAATGTTCTTCAGTTGGAGGAGCGCGTGGCTGGCGCGGCGCAGCGCAGCTCGCTGAGCCGCCCGTCGTCTACCCGCTAACCTAAGGGGCCGCCTCCGCTGTGCGCCCGCTCTGCGTCTGCGTCCTCGTCCATTCGGTTCCGTCCACCTGTTTGTTAGGAGAGGCGGTTTTCCACGTGCAGGTCTGACTTTAAATGAGGTCTTCTAAGTGTGTTTAATGACACGGGTAAGTGTGAACAGTGTGCTGCACGTCTGAGCAGTGTGTGAAATACGTAAAATGCCAGGGAGCACTTAGAAATTCACACAGGCACCGCCCCACTGTTGGTGTGCGTTTTGTTGTGTGAGGTCTTCATTCAAAAGGAAGAGACATCGAGCCTTGAGCTGAGCCATGCCATCACTTCCACGGTGAAAACAGACTTCAAGGTAATTTCTGGGTAACAGTCACTTTTTCACGTTCACGATCCTGCCACGTTTGCAGGTCCAGCTGGAGTTGGAAAAGGAAACGGGAACAAAAGTCAAGCTGTGTTTGTCGAGCCTCTGTTCTAATTCAGGGTGCCTTGGGATGTGAATTAGGAGCCTGTTTCTTATCCCGGGACTGCAGAATCACACGTGTGTGGGTACCCTCTGCCCGTGAACGTCTCCCCCAGGACATCTCTGCCAGGCACCGAGCAGCTCTGAGTGTGTGGTGAGGCCCCAGGCCCCAGGCGGGCAGAGAGGGCGTGGGGCCCTGCCACCCCGCCTCCCAGAAGAGAGGGGTCTGCCAAGTGCTTGGGGGCCGGGCGGGGCCTGGGGGGAACCAGGACAGTTTGGAGAGGTGACAGCAGTAAGGGCACGCCAGGCCAAAGACCCCTGTGGTGGAGGCAGGGAGGCTGGCATGATCCAAACCCAGACGGGCGCTGCAGGCGGGTCTGGGAGGGGTGGAGCCGCTGCAGGACAAGCAGGGACGCTGAGACAAGCAGTGCTTCCCCGCCTCCCTCCGCGTGGACGGGTGGAGGCGGACAAGCCAGCGCCCCCGAGTTGGGTCCAGCTGGTTAGATGGAGGGAGAGGGTGCCAGCGGAGGGGGAAATGCAGAGCCATCCTGGAAGGAACCTCAGCAGTCAGGCCCGGGCTGGCGGTGGGACCGCTGCCGAAGCTGGAAGGTCGTGCCCGGTGACTCTTGAGTGATAATCAGGTGCAGGTTTGAAAGTGCAGATTTAGAGGCCGCATCGCCAAGTCTGGTTTCAAACGTATTTTAAAAACTTGAGTCTTTTATATATGTATCCCAGTTCGTTGTTAGTGTGGTGTTACTTCAGAAATAAGATTCTGTTTTGAAATGTATGTTAGCCTGCTTTTGCGCAGTTCCTTTCCCACAGCAGGAAGTAGCAGCCGCTGGCTGTGTGCTGGTCTGCAGGTAAACACGCTTCGTGGTGCAAGGCTGATCGATCGTGCTTTCTAGCGTCACCAACGTGGGGGACGTAAGGTTTTAAATATCTCTTTTTTTTAGCTAAATGCTTATATAAATGACTCATTTTCCTAAAGTTCCTCCTTGATTTCACCCCGTCACTCCTCAGACCAGCCCGTGTCCTGCCCTCCCCCATGATGGTTTGTGCTTTGATCTCTTTTGCTGAAATATTAGCACTCTGTCCCAAAAAGGCCGCCTGTGTGTTTGACCCTGGTCGACAACGCAGATCTGTTCTGCCCCCCTGCAGGCACCGCAGGCCGCCTCTCACAGGTCACCGTGTGCAGAGGCTCAGCCAGTGCCTTCAGAAACCAGGCGAGGAGGGTGTGGAACTGGAGGGAGGGTCTTGACTCAGCAGTGTCTTTAAGTGTCTTCCAGGTTATTTATAAAACTTATGATATAAATTAGTGAAGCAGTTGACTCTTTCTGGTTAAGCCAGAAAGAGCATTTGTAGTGAAAGTGGTGATTTTTCAGGAAATGCCCTGTGCAGTAGAGGGGCCACAAGCCACATGTGGCAATTTCAGTTTAATTTAATCGCAGTTCAGAATTCAGGTCCTTGATCACACCAGCCACCTTTCAGGTGCTCAGCAGGCGTCCGTGGCCAGGAGCTCACCGCAGCAGACAGTGCAGAAACAGGGCGCTCCCACCTGCGGCAGGTGTGGATTCGGTAGCCGGGTGGGCGTTCATTCTCCTCCTCCCAGTGGTTTGAAAGACTGTTGACTGCTGTCAGCAGTCAGGGCTGGGAGTGCACCTGTTAGAAGCTACCCCACTGCCCCTAAATGGCTTAAACAAGACCAGTAGCTAGTCAGGCTCACGTGCTGAGCCGTGAGGGAGGCGCAGCTCGTTTGGGGCTCACGAGGTGTCTCGAGGATTCGCCTCCAGGCTCAGCTCCCCCCGGCGGGCCGCGTTCTCCAGCTCTGCCTCCTGCAGCCCCAGCTCACCTCGCCCTCCACAGCCCCTCTGGGCTCAGCAGGAGCCCTGGGGTTGCAGCTGCCTGGCCTTGGCCAGCCAGACTGGGGTCCTGAGCTTCTCCCTCAGCGTAGCGCGATGCCCAGGAGAGAGCAGTGTTCTGGTCCAGCTCCTGCTTCAGGTGGGGTGAGCTTCGTCCAGAATTCACGCACCAAGAGGGCGGGGTTGGGGGTGCTGGGCTGTGGGGGAGCAGAATCCAGTGCACTTCTCTGAACAGCCTACTTATGTGTCCCTGAAATGGCTCCACGGCACGTGTCATAAATACCCCTGAAAAAGTCTGCCGTTGAGCCTGTTCCTCGGTGTTGACTGAGTTGCCCCCGCCCCCGCCAGCTGTGTACACAGAAGTGCCTTTGGTGTCGCTGCAGAGGTGGGGGCATGCCTGCCCTTCAGTGTCCGGGTGCTGCTGGTGCCAGAGCACGTGCTGTCCGGGCCTGGCAGGGCGGTGGGCTGCTGGCGACCCTGCCTTTGGGCCTGAGCTGCACCTGTGTCCTCCCCACGAAACGCGTGTCACCCTGGCACTGACGCCCTGGGTCGCGGGACGCGTGCTGAAGCGCCCCACTCTCGAGTGGCTGCTGGCAGGCTCCCGAGACGCGTCGGCGCAGGCCGCCCTGGGCCGCGGTTGTTGGGGGCTGCGACTGGGCGTGTGCGATCGGTTACCTTTTTCTTTTCAATTCTCAAGTCTCTGTAACTGCTGGGGTTTTTAATATCCTCTTAGTACTTTCAAGCTGGAGGGAGAGTGATGAGCTCATCACAGCGCATCACCCGAGTTCAGCCTGGGCAAGCCCCCATGCCAGGCTGCTGACTTTCACCTTAATGGTGAAGGATCATCAATCGTTTGATCTGAATCACTAGACCCCATGACTTGATTACAGGCTGTATTTTCAAAGCATCAGTTCAGTTAGCCCCTTGCCTTCAGACAGGGTGCTAAGCTACAAACACTGCGGAGAAACAATTGTCCCTACTGACGGGCTTTAGGATGAAGGCGGAAGAGGCACTAATGGAGTTCAGAGATACCAGGTGTCGGTTGGCAGGAAAGCGTGAGCAGGAGCTCATCTGATGAGCCGCCACTCGCCCTGTGCAGTTCTCCCGGGCCGGCCCCTGCGGCGCGGCGCCCGCCTGGCTCTTGTGCCCCTCGGAGGATGTCCACGGGGGGACATGCTTCCCTCTCTCCTCCTCTAAAGCGCACAGCGTCGTGACTCCACGCCGTGGTTCTGTCCGAGTGTGCAGTGAAGGAGAACGCTGAGAAAGGCAGCCATCCTGGGTTTGTGTCCCCTTGCCCAGAGCGGACCACTTCCATAAAGGACAGAGAGCACGGCGCAGTCCTCCTGAAATGGGCTCTGTGTCCGTTTGCCTGGCAAGTCCCCATGCCCGGCCTCAGGAGGGACCCGCAGCAGCCCTGACTGCCCTGTGGTGCCCGGGGCCCCGAGCCCTCGCTCACGGAAACGCTTAGTGGTGGCCTCTGCCCCAGTCGCATCTCCTTTTCCGTGCAGTGTGTGTCCCTAGTGTTACGGGGGTTAATGCACTAAAAGCTGGTTTTTTCAGCAGCAGCAGCACAGCTCTCTATCAGCCAAACGCCCGGGGGGAGGGGGAGGGGGGTGAGCAGCCAGCACTTCCCTTCCTCCAGCCACAGAAGTTAGAAAGCTCGCGGTGTTTTATTTATTTTTGTCTTAATTTAAAATGTCATTTAGTATGCATGCTTACAGAGTGCCTGAGTAGAAATTAGGTGTTCTTAGATGATAAAGGTTGGTGTCATGTTAGAACTGTTTTAACAGCAACCAATTATTTTAGAATTTAACCTGAAGACTCTTACTGCTATAAAAGAATTTGAAGCGAGAAAGGCCTGTTTGCTAACAAGAACTGCCCCGCGACGAAGCGGGTTCCCCGGAGAAGGTGTGGACAGAGCCTTAGAAAGGAAGTGGCAGTGAAGGAGGGGAGGCCTTTCCCCAGGCGCCCGTGCCTAGGGCGTCTGAGCGGGAATAAATTGCGGTGGGAACAGGGCGCATTGTTCTCCAGCGACTCTCAGGCCTGCTGCCCCTCCGCTTGTGGTGGGTGGACGGCGGGGAAGGCGGGCAGTGCCTGTGAACGGCAGGAGGCCGCGACATTGCCGTCAGGCCGGGGCCCCCACCCGGCAGCATCCCCCTCTGGTGCCAGCCCTGCGACAGCACTGAGGTCTCCTCTCAGAGCCCCCGGCAGACGCATGACTGCGGGGGAGTCATCTGCACAGTGTGGGTCCCGGCGGACCCAGGGAGAGGAGCAGGAGGCCAGGCCCGCGGCCCACAGCAGCAGCAGCCGCGCTGTCTGCGAGACACCCCCCCGCCCCAGGGTCGCCCTCCATAAACCTTGTGGCTCAGCCCTCTGGGTCACAGGATGATAAACTGCAGGTTTCTCGGTGTATCTCAAAAGTGAGTGGTGCTCCCTGGCTGCAGTTAAAATTCATTTCAAGCGAGCTGGGGAAACGGCCTTTCTGAGTCCGAGGGGCAGGGCGGGCGGTGGGCGCCGTGGCCGCGACGGGGACGTGGCGGCTGGGCTTGCTGGGTCTCTCTGGGGCAGGCTGTGTGGGGGCAGGGAGGGAGCTCTTTTCTTCACCTTACAGTGTGACGTGGACAGATGTTAGTGTTGACAAAAATAGGGTCACCGTGGCATTCTTATTTTTTGTTGGTTTTATATGTATGTATACATTTAAATGGAGGGACGGGGGACTGAACCCAGGACCTCGTGCATGCTAAGCATGCACTCTGCCCCTGCACTATGCCCTGCACACTTGCCGTGTCATTTTTAAAAGCTGAATACTAACTCGCTGCCTGGAATTGTTCGCCGTATTGAACCAGTAGCCTCCCTTTGATGGTCATCCAGGGTCATTGTAAGGTGGTGTGACGTGGTCCTTAGGTGTGCGTCCTGCACACTTGCGGGACTGTCTCTTCAGAACGAATTCCTAGAAATGGGATTGCTCTGCATGGCACGGTGCTGAGGGTGGCGGTTCCTTGACCTGTGCGCTGGTGATCCTGTTGTGAAAATTCAGCAGGCAGTGCCCTTCAGATCCGTGCCCCCTCTGTGTGTCTGGCGCACTTGGCTGCAGAGCCTTTGAACGACGGATGCTGACTCGCCAAGTGCAGTGCTGTGCTGAGTGAGTGCGTGCGGGGTGAGGCTGACTTGTGCTTAACAGCTTATCTTCTGTGGGATTCCTGTCCGTGGCTTTATTTTTTCCCTTCAGTTCTGCTGAGACACAAAACTGTGTTGACTGAAAAATAAAAAGCACGATGTGAGAGTTGTGGGTTAGGTTTCATTCAGGGCAAAATGAGGACCGTAGCCCAGGAGACAGACTCTCAGATTGCTCTGAGGATCTGCTCCAAAGAGGTGGGGGAGGTCTGTGTATGTGTGATTTTAGTGAAGGGGGCACATGCGGTCAGGCACACAGTTGGGCAGAAGGTTGCTGGGCACGAGGAGCAGGTGTCACCGTTGATGATGTTAGTGCTTTTCTAGAAATGAGGAATGCAAGTGTTCGGGCTCTAAAACCTCCTGAAAATGTCCCACTGTCTAGGGCCCGTTCTGCCAGTTTTCCCAGAGCACTGATCGCCCCGTTGCTGATCTCCACCTTGAACTCCCTTCAGGGTGTGGTGGCTCATGGCCTCATCTTTGCAGAACCAGGCGGCTAGTGACAATTTTCTATTTAGCAGTTGGCCCACAGCACCGTGTGTATAAGGTGTGCAGCGAGATTTGACTTACACATATTGCAAAATAACCACCACAGTAACTTCAGTTTACATCCATCAGCTCAGGTAGACACAAAAAAAGAAAGAACCGTGTTTTCCTTCTGACAGAGGGGTTTTTTTCATTCTTTTTCTGTTGAAGTGTAGTCAGTTAACAGAGTTTTTTGAAAACAGAGAGGAACCTCTTCTAGTTCAGGCGAAGCAGAGTCATGAAAACCTAGTGCTCAGGTGTGAGAAATCCCCTCTTCAGTGGGAGTCGCAGCTGTTTGTGGAAGGGCGAGCGTGGTGCCCTCCGTGCCCTGGTCCCCCCACTCCATGCCCTGTCCCCCCCCAGCACCGCCACAGCCCGGTGTGCTTGGAGAGGAGCCGCACACGGGGAGCTCGCAGGGAGAGGCGGGCCTTCGTTCTCCTGGCCTCTGAGGAGCCGTCAGTCTCCCTGAGATGCCAGGGATGTTTTAAGAGCCCCCGGGAGAGACGTGGTCTGCTCTGAGAGGTGTTGGTGCCTTACTGGTGAGAGGGCCCCAGAGCTGAAGTTGTATAAATGCACATGTTACATGTTACGATTTCCCGGGTTTGCTCCCGTCCCCAGGAAGCCAGCGCTGCGTCCTGTCCCCTGCTGACCGGAGGCAGGCCTCTGCCGACTTCGGACGTTAAAGCCCCAGATGGGCCCCCGAGCAGAAGCAGAGACCCCCCGAGGGAAGAGGAGAGGGAGAAGAAGAAGAAGAAGCACAGAAAGCGGTCGCGGACCCGCTCGCGCTCTCCCAAGTACCACTCGTCGTCCAAGTCCCGGTCCAGATCCCACTCAAAAGCAAAGCATTGTCTTCCCAGTGCCTATCGGACGGCCCGGCGCTCCAGGTGGGTGTGCAGGGCGCGGCTCCCCAGCCCGGCCCCAGCCCGTGCGTCTGTGCGCAGACGCGTCCTGCCAGCTCGAGCAAGAGCCTTTCTGAAGCTCCTCGGCTACTGCTGGCTGTTTTTGAAGATAGATTTAAATTTTTAACAGATCTTGGAAGCAGGCCTAGCATATTTGCTGAAATGTGTGGCCAGCTTCACTGGGTTGGGGGTCTGTGGTTAGGTTTGAGCGGGTGGACTTAGCCAGGCCAGTTCCTTTTGAACGTGTAAAGCCGGAGCAGAAGGCTCCCTGCTGCGGCGGCGGGCACCTCCGCGTGGTGTGCGCGTGGGCACGGGGAGAAGGGCGTGCGGGGCGCGCGTCCATTCTCTCAGTTAAGCTGCCTCTGCACGTCTCCCACTCACAGCCACTGTGTAACCAAAAGCCACCTTCACGAGGAGCCAGCTTTTGAAAAAGCAGCTTCACATTTCAGGCAGCAGAAGTAATACATGTGAAAACCTGTAAGATCACAGAATGTACTGCTTAATAAGACACTTCTGTTTTGTTTTGTTCTGTTCAAGCAGCTGGCTCACAGGAGGTTCAGAAAAGCAGATTTCTGGTCTTAGAACTCCCATCGTGCGTTCTGGTTTGTTCCTGAGTGTCAGTTGGACCTCCCTGAGTTTCCCTTCAGCACAGCGCTTGCACGGCTGTGAACCAGCTTTTCCAACACAGTCGATGTTAGTTCCTTCCTTTCTGTGGGAAGAATGCGGACGCCCTGTGCTTTTTGCTTTCTGTGTTTGAAGAAGTATGCTTACGTACACATGCGCCTCTCTGAATATGCCCCAAACCAGGTGCTTTTCCTGTTTCATCCAGACCAAGCCTTAAAGGCTTGCCTAGTGTTTACACTTACCTACGGTATTACGGGATTTGCCTCCGAGACAATAAATTTGATCTTTGGCGCTCTGCATCTTTGCTGGTCCTTCAGGAGTTCTGTCAGTCCTCACACACACACCCCCTTCATTGCTGTTCAATTAAAAGAACGGCTTTGCTGATGCATTTGCAGGTTTTGAAGGCCCCCAGACGTGTGCATATGTGCCAAGACTCTTTAAAGTTCCTTATGTGAGAAAACTTGTGACATCAAATAGTGGAAATAAATCACACAGGCCTATGCAAGCCCTCTGAGTACTAACACACCCAGTGGAGCTGACGCGTAAGCCCCCAGCTGGGGGGCGGGTAACTCCGGGCTCCTAGGGGGCTCTGTGGTCTGCGACCTGCGCCTCCACGTTGAGTGTCCGGCCAGCACAGTAGGCACTGGTGCGTAGTATTGAAACGCAGCCCGTCTGCTCGGTTGTCAGGAGGGACGGTGTAATGGCCACAAGCTTTTCCCCAGACTGGTCTGTTCAGAACTGAAAGTGTTCGTGAAACATTTGGGATTACAAGTTCCTAGGTTTTTGTGCCTTTTATTGACCATCTATAATAGAATAAGCCATTCTATGTATAATGTTAATGCTCTTGAAGTAGCTTTTATTCTACAACAGACTGAGTTACGTATGTCGTGTACAAGTACATGTTACGTTGTGAACACGTTCGGTGCCGGCAAATGCGAGGGGCACAGCCCTAACCCTGAGTTTGTGATTTTCAGTTAAAAGAAAACAGCGCCTCACGGTTTCAGTGTGAGCTCTGGGCCGACAGGCGGCCGACCTCACCCTCATTTGACCTACAGGTGAAATTGTTCGTGGGTAAACAGAGTGTTTCCATAACTCGCGAACTTCTTTCCAATCTCAGTGGCATCTCTGTGATACTTCGTTAGCGCTGGTCACAGCGGCTGGCTTCAGTTCACCAAGTCAGTTGGGTCTTCGATGTTTGGTTTTGCAGTTCACAGCAAGTATCAAGGCAAAGTGCAGCTGTATCATAAAAAAATTCTTTAATGGTTTTGTAAAACGGAACCTTCCGACTGTTTGTCCAGTAAGTTTTGCTCTGAAAGCTTGTGCGTGATGGCGATGCTCCCTGAAACCAGGGCCCTGCGGTGGGCTGGAGGTCTTGGCGGTGAAGCGGGGAGACCAGCTGTCCTGTGGGTGGGGCCTGGGCCCTGGGGACCCGAGTCAGATGAGTCACCTTCACCTTGAAGAATCCTGCCTCAGCTCTTACTTCTGAGACGAGTGTATCGTTCGCTAACACTGCATTTTCCCTAAGCTGGTTGCAGACCTGCTGTCTCAGTCCAGGCTCACACTGATCACCCAGCCAACAGCGACCGGGTCCAGGGATCCAGCTGGGTCTAGAATGCAGTGCTTACCAGACGGAGAGGCGCGTCTTCTCAGTCACACGAACCGTTGACGTGTCAAAACAGCTTCATTTTAACCAAAAAGTTGACGTTGTTAACGGTACTGTCATAATTCCTTCTTTAACTGTCCGTCTTTTCAGACGGACTAACTGGCTGCAGACGTAATGCCTACGTAGCAGGCAGCAGCCCTGCGTCTCGGGCCTGGCGCGGCCTAGTCCGTTGTTCTGTGAAGGCGACTGCCAGCCCCAAGTGGGAGGGCGCGTGTTAGTGTTTCTGCTTGTGGTGGGGTTCCGCAGTGGGAGTGGATTTCCCTTTGTGTGCTGAATTATCAGCACCCTACGCAAATGTAGAAAGTCAGCGTTAGAAAGCTCTTCTGTATCGTGAGTGATTTTTATGTTAACATGTTAACGTTCCTTGTGGTTGAAGTCCCGTTTATCCAGTTGGTCTGAATTAGAGGTGGCTGGGTCTCCAAAGGTGAACTCGTCGTGGAAACGTCTTCCGTTTTGGAAATCAGTCTGCTGCTTCTCAGAAGGCGCAGTAATTACCACCAGGCAGCATTCAGTGCGCTTTAAACCAGCACTGATTAAAGTGCGAGGCATTTGTCTCGGTCATTGTCCGCTTTCACGTGACAGCAGGTTTATATTTTAATGGGATGAAGACGTACGCATGGAGTTTACTGCCTAAAATTAAAATTTGGTTTTAGCGGTTTAGGTAATTTAAAACTAAACTTAGTGAGACTAAAGCTTAAAGTTCAGTTTATTTTTGAAGCCTTCGATAAGCTCGCCTTTGGTGTCGTTTCACTGGTTAGTCGGCGTCTGCGGGGGGAGGTTCGCACCCTGCGTTTTGAGGCGCTCTGTGTGGAGGGGCTGCGTGGCTCCCCGTGCCGCGTCCAGAAGTGAAGCCCCCCAGGAATCTGTCTTGGCGGGGGGTGGCTAGGACTTAATGTGGCTTTTTTAACAATTATATTTATCGTTCAAAAAGAACTCAAGCAGGCAAAACTGGGGTCGTGTTTGGTTTGAAGTATGTAATTCCTCAGTTTCCCCATGATAAACTGCGTGGCAAACCCGTGAGGGTAACTGGTTTAACCTCCTGATCCTCATCCTTAAAGGAAGCTTGGGGCGCTTGGCGTCCCCACAAGCTGACGGCCCGCGTGCTGGTGTTCCGGGAAGCGAATCATGACCCACAGACAGAGCTGGCCCGCTGTGTTAATTGCAGTGTCAGGAGGGACGGGGGCGCACTGGCCCCGGGAGGGGTTCATTGGGTCTGCAGTTCAAACGTGAGAAGAGCCAAGGCTTGGAGGGCTCTTGGTTGCTCAGTCTGGTTGTCGGCACCAGGTCCTTGCTGCCGGCCCCGGTCCACTCGGTCAGCCCCGCGGGGACCTTGAGTTTTGGTGAAGCAGCAGGACTGGAGGGGGTGGGGGGATGAAACGGTTAAATGCTGGGGAAGGGGGGCCGCTTATAAATACCGCTGTCATTCAGACTGAAAGTTCTCTTGTGCTTTTATTTGAAAGGAAACCATTATTATTCAAGGGAAAAAAATCTGAGTAGCGTCATGCTTGAAATTTTTTGGATTCAGACTAGTTCATCTTTATGAGGCCTCTGGTCACATCGTACAGATGATTTACTTACAAAGTGGAATTCCTGTTCTGTGCACTGTGTCATGGTAGCAATATTAAAAGCCTGATTAACAGAATAAAAGCATTGGAGCTTCTTTAATTAAAATAAAGCCTGGGCATTATCTGATACAGCTCACGGCCCTCAATTCTGAAATGGGCTTCTTTCCCAGGTAACTCGAAGTCCACCGGTAGTAGCCGCCGCCCTTTAGAGAGATCTGATACCGTTAGCCACCACAAAACGGCATTGTATTTCAAAGTTACGAATCTGCAGGCATTAAAAACAAATGCGTTGTTCCTGGTTGCTGAGTTTATTGTAGGATTCTGCGTGTAAGCGTTCCGCAGGTGCTGTGGCTTTGATTAAGCTGAGCTTTCCCAGGGTCCTGCTCCCGCCCCGCCCAGCCTGTTCCGAATGGGAGGTGTGTGCCTCCTTCCGTGTCACAGGCCCACAGCCTCCCAGGCACGTGGGGCCCGGGCCCCGTCAGAGCAGCCAGCCGTGGCGGCGGCAGAGAGGACAGTTCCCAGGCAGCCTGGACCTCGGGCACATTCACCTCCTGGAGCTCTTTTGAGGGAAAACCTGCTAAAATGTCAGGGTGTCTGACCGACCTCACCTTTGTGATCTGTTACCTGAATCTCAGGAAGGGTCTAGGGGAGAAGAGGTGAAAACCGTCCTTTATATGAGCTGCAAGACGCTGTGTTAAGAGCTGTCCTGAGGCTGAGGCCGTGCATCCCCGCGCCGGGCCGTTCCAGGGCCACGGTGCCGTGCCAGGGGTGACTCGGGGCTTTCTCCGCGACCCGGCACGGGGAGTGTGCTTACGGGCTGTGCGCCTGCAGGGTGTGGTGTTCGGGGGCGGCTCCTGGGACTGAGGCGACTCCATGTGGGATTTCCTTGGACCGCAGAAGCAGACATCTCTCCTTTCCATTGTTTTTGAGCGGGTTGTCATAGAGACGGGACGGAAAGAAAGTGTTTTTTCCAGATTTCTGCTTATTTTAGGTCTTCCCTAAACAGTAATTTCACCAAAGGAACAAAAAACTAAAATAAGAGTCCTGAACCCATTGTCAAGCAGTGCTGTGCTGAGGACGTTGACCCTGCGGGCGAGGGTCTCACGCTGGAGTGCTGCGTGCCGCGGTCCGTGGGCTGCGGTTGCCCTGCGTGAATACAACAGTCCTCGTCTGGCACTTGAAAAGGAAGAGTAAAATATTAGTGGGTAATTTTGTTTCCAGGAAGCCTCACAAACAACTATTTAGCCGGAACGTTCATGAGGAGGGCCCGGTGTGAACTGGACTGAAGGTTCGGGCGTCACGCCAGCAGACGTGGAGGCCAGCAGGCCGTGAGATGAGTGTGAATGAGAGAAGTCACCAGGTCCTCCTCTGACTTCATGACGCTTTGGTTTCTTCCTCTTGCCAGTGTTCAAAACAAGTAGAAACAGCTCACTTGAATCTCAGGGCCTTTCCTTTACCTAATTTGGTAGCAACATCCATGAGCTGGGGATTTCTTAAAGCGATCAGGTGGGCAAAGGCAAAAGGAAGGAAGAGAAAAGGCCCGTGAGCCGCGAGCCGCAGCGGGACATCCGGCCCTAGGGTGACCATTTGGACCGGCAGCACGGAGCTCCCCTCCAGTGCCCCGGGTAGAGGGTTGGCGTTGGTGTGACAAGCGTCCTACAACGGGAGAGGGGAACATCTCCGCCTCCGAGCGCGGACGCAGTGCTGCGTCAGCAGAGGAGTGAGGCTGGGGCGGGCCTCGAAGGGCAGGCGGGGCCCCCACGGGCTCGTTCCAGGGCTGACGGCTGCCTCAGTGGTGGACGTGCTCCCCTGCCCCCCCCCCGACACAGGACTGAAACACCTGTCCTCCTCCGCACAGGTCCCGGTCCCGGTCCCCTCGGAGAAGAGCGCACTCTCCCGAGAGACGGCGGGAGGACAGAAGTGTCCCCACCGCCTACCGGATGAGCAACAGCCCCGGAGTCAGCAGGAAGCGGACCCGGTCCAGGTAGGCGGCGGTTCTCACGGACGCGGATCTGCTGGAAGGGACGGGGTGACCTGGCGCACACATTTCTAACACAGAGCTGTAGGTCGTCGGGAAGTGGCGCTCTGGCCAGCCTGAGTGGTCCCGGCAGGGTGGTCCTGGCTCTGGAACTCAGATGCAGAGGGAGCTCTCCCGTGCTGGAACCGGGTGCCCTCTGGACCCCCACACACAGGGACGAGTGACAAGGAAAACCAGAAGTTTGAGTCTCAGGTGGATCCCTGCTGCTGCCTGGTGGCCAGGCCACAGCTTCCAGGAAAGGGCCGCACTGTCCTCGTGGGGCCTGAGAGCAGGGAGAGAGGGTCCATCCTCTGACGCTTTGACCACTGGGAGAGACCTGTGTAGTTGAGAGCAAGGCCGGCCCCCATGTCTCTGGGGAAGAAGCCCCAGCCATTGTGCCACATCCAGGCCCCCAGCTGTCCCTCCCGGGAGAGAGCTCGGGGCGGACCTCGCACATGGAGGCCTCGACACCCCCACTCAGCTGGGGGGGGAGGGCATGAGGACCTTGAGCCGGGGTCACAGCCAGCAGACCAGTGGGCATGTCCTCTCGGCCAAGGGGCGTGGTCTGAGCATTGTCCCGTCCAGCCTGAGTGATGCCACCTGCATGCTTTACACATCTTGACTTCTGTTTCTATTGTCCCCGAAAATGAGGGCTTCTCTGTTTTTGTGTCCCTGCCTGGAGTCAACGCAGGCCCTGGCTCTTGGGGGGTGGACAAGGAGGGCTGAGGTGCCCAGAAAAGGCAGGTGCAGGTGTTGCACAGTGTAGTCCCGGATTTCATAATACTGTGCTGCTGAGTGTGTGCATCGGACACGCAGGGTTCCAGAACCTTCCAAAGGACAGATCCGAGTTACAGGTGTCCCAGCTGTCACCAGACGAACTCGTGCACAGCCTCTGAGACGCCCCTTCATCAGCAAGAGCCTTGCAACAGCGGGAGCAGTTCTGAGAGGCGTTGCTGCCTGAAAAATGTCCCTGCAGTCTGGCTAGTTATGCGCTGGGCCCGTCAGCTGATAAAATGTCATCTCTCTTTCAACAGAAACATCAGCAAAGGAGCTATAAAGCTGGTAGATTTCAGCAAGGCTTCCTGTACAAACTCACTCTGTTTATAAATTACACTTTGTGCCGCAGAACTCCCACGCTAAGCATACATGACTGGGCCAGAATAATATGGTGAAAGTTGAAGTCCATTTTAAATTTTATTCCTTATGCAAGTAATTGATACTTGAAATTTATCATCACTTTGGTGTAGATAAAGGGCTTGATCTAAAATTAATTCCTTATAAAAAATTTTTTTAAATAAAAGAAATTCCTTATAGCAGAAGATGTAACGTCAGAGTTCTTGCTTTGCCCCCAGATTAACCTTTGCATGAAAAGAGACATCACTGGGGAAGGCGGTGGTGTGTTAGGACTCCTCAGAACTTGTGTTGCCACCAGGACTTCAGCAAGCGTGCAAAGGAAGTTAAGGTCCGACTCACTGACAGACAGGACTAAAGCTGTGGCCAGACTCGGGGAGCCGTGAGCCGCAGGGCAGTGTGTGTGCAGTTAGTGGTCTTGATTATAAACCCGAGCCGTCTGTAGGGCCAGGGTGTGCTCTGTCAGCAGGCGAGCTGTGCTAGCCGGAGGTCAGACCCCGGTGCCCCTCCACCCTTCTGCCCAGAGTAGGGGTGGGGTCTCTGTGCTGGTGTGGCAGCAGGTGACGGACTCGCCCACCAGGGCAGGGTCACGTGACCCCGACTGGGGGAGGCGCCTCCTGCCAGGCCCGAGGGAGTATTCCTACAAACTGATTGCAGGTGCCTCCTTCACTGCCTTGTTTTTCCCGCAGGTCTCTTACCTTACTGGAAAATGGTACTTGGTGTTTAAAATAGTGCGTGAACCAGCACCGTGCCTCCGGCTCCACCCACAGTGTTACCATTCTGCCACGTGCACTTTTCTCGCTGGCTCCCTCTCCCTCCCTCAGTCCCCACTCCTTCTCTCCTCCTTCCTTTGTGTGTGTGTGTGTGTGTGTGTGTATTTCAGGACTCTGACAAGTCTGGGCTGGCTGTGTCCTTGAAGGTCCCACGTTGCACGAGTCGCACTGTGTCCTCTTGGCGACTTTCGTGCTAAACACTTTTGTCCAGACACTGATGTCCTATGACCTCCTGTTGCATCACACCAGGGGACACACAGTGTCCCTTTGCCCCATGGCCAGTGGTGCTGAGTTCGAGCGCTTGGTTAAGGCTGCATCTGCCGTGTAATCGTACCTTCCCGCTGTGAACTAACAGGTACCCTGCGGGGGACCCTGGGGCAGGGTGAACGTCATGTTGCCGGCAGCTCTCTCCTCACTCCTTCTCTGAAGACCACCCCTCTTCGTTTCAGTGTCACTGTGGACTTGGGCTTTGATTTGCTGTGTGACAGTCCATTTGCACCACCACGTGCTGTTTGGTGGTGACACTGTCTCGCATTTGGCCGCACACCTGGGCTCAGCCGTGTCTCCTAGGAATCCTGGCTCCTTTTAGTGAATGTTGAGAAATCTAGTTCTGGGCGTGGTGAATGTTTTTAAAAGTAAAATTCATGAAAGTGTTTAGCCAAATCGTATCACAGTGCACTCCAGCAGGGTGTCCCAGTTACTTTACGACAGCAGATAACAAGTGATTGGCTGTGGGGGGCTTGCCTTGAATTCCCACTGCTCAGCACGGCGCCGAGCACGTCGGTCAGCGCCTGAGTGAGTGAACGGGAACATGCTGCTGCTACACGGCTCTTACGTTATACATGAAGGGGTGATAATTCACAGACTTTGACAATTAAAGGATGCATATCGTAATTCCCTAGAGCAACCACTTAAAAAATAGCCAGAAAACCAGTAGGGAATGTTAAGGAGAACCTTGAAGTGCTTTATTAATGCAAAAGAAAGCAGAAAAGTGGGGAGAGGGAAAAGGAACAAATGGACAAGTAGAAAACATGAAGATCGTTACACCATCCATACAAATAAGTACACTAAATGTAAGTAGACTAAAACTCTAGTTAAAAGGCAGAGATTTTGGATTGCTTTATAAGGCAAAACCTAATACTAAGCTGCTTGCAAGGACACTTTAAATACACACATAGGTTAAAATCTAAAAGATAGAAAAAGATACACCATACAGCGCTAATAAGAAAGGTGGTGTGGCTGTCTTAATAGGAAACCACGTAACGTGTAGAAGTGGTGCAGAGGTAAGGACGGCCATTTCCTAATGATACAAGGGTCAGCTCTTCTTGGGCGTAATGTTTTACACGTGCGCACTGAGTGAAAGCGCTTCACGGTACTTGAGACAAAAGCTGACAGGACCAAAGGGAGACAGCAGACCAGCACTGGTGACCCACTGAGACCGCCGCCTGCGGCGCAGTGTGCGCGTCCCTGCGGAGGGTGCCTGGGACGGGCCGGCCTCCAGGCTGGGTCAGGTCAGGCCCGTGTCCCGAGTGGGCCCGGGGCGCTCCGAGAGCTTCAGAGGGTGTGGGCTGGCTCCCTTACCACGTGGCTTTAGGGACAAAAGTCTACAAAGATGTCTGGAAAATGCCCAAATACTTGGAAGTTAACACACTTTAAATTGCCCATAGGTCAAAGAAGAACTCACAAGAGGAAGTAGAAAATACTCTGAAATGAAAGTGTAACATACTCAGATCTGTGGGCGCAGCTGTGCTCAGAAGGAAGTCGGTGGCTTCAGATGTTTATAGAAAACAGAAAGGTCTGAACCCTGTGCTCTAGTCTTCCATCTTAAGAAGCTAGAAAAAAAGGCACATAGTAAGCCCAAAGCAAGTAGAAGCAAGGAAATAAGAAAAGGTCAGAAATCAGCAGAACAGAAAACAGACCAGAGAGGGAAGTAGTCAGGCCGAATGGTGGTTCTTTGAAAATGATCAAAAAGTGGTGAATCCTAGACCGATCAGGAGTGAAAGACCCTACAGACGTGGAAAGGACAGTAAGGGAGCAAACCTCATTCCAGGGAGTTTGACCACTTAGGGCACGGTGGAAATGGCTTGAAAGAAACAAACCACCAAGCTGACAGCAGCAGAAATAGGGAGTTTGCATAGCTCATGTCTGCTAAAACCGTTCCGCAGAGCCCTAGGCCCAGACGGCTTTTATCAGTAAAGTCCAACAAACATTCAAGGAAAGGGGGATCCAACTTTATAGACACTTCGAAGGAGACGGGAGAGGGAACCCGTCTCAGCTGACCTCCTGAGACCAGCCTGGAGCCGTGTGCGTGCGTGGTGTGTGTTTGCCGTGGGCAAGGGAGTGTGAGCGTGTGTGCAGTGTGGCGTGTCTGCGCTGGGGGGACGTGGATGCGTGGCTCCCATACGTGTGTGTTCACAGACTAACGCCCTCAAGAGCATAAATGCAGAAGTCTGTAGCAAAATATTAGCTGGTTTCAGTCCAGCAGTTTCCTACAAGGGTGATACGTCCAGACCAAGTGGGGTCTGCCTCAGGAATGGAAGGTTCTTTACCATCAAACCAACCATTGCAATTCCCAGTATCCACAGAATAAATGAAGAAAGCGTGTGACATCTCAGCAGAAACGGAAAAGGTGCTTGACACGGTTCACCCCCCGCAAAGGAAATGTCCTCCCTCAGAGACAGGGCGTCTCTGAACGCCCCACGGCTAACGCCGCCCTTGCTGGTGGAAGACCGAGGGCTCCCCCGCCAGCTGGAAACAAGGCCAGGGCGTCTGCTCCGCGATGCAATGGGAGGAAAGGAAATAGAGGCAAAAGGTCGCAAAGGGAAAAAGGAAGTGGCCTTTCTGCGTAACTACGGAACATCCTAAGACTTCGGTAAAGTTTATTTCTATATACTGGCTCCGAACAGTTGAGCCGTGAAGTTGAAGACGATGCCATTCATAACAGCCTCAACGAAACAAACTACTTACGGGTGAACGTGAGAAAATAAATGCAGGATCTCCCTACACTGAACACCGCAAAGCAGTTCAGAGAATGTGTTTAAGAAACTTCAGTAAATGGAGAGAAAGCCCACATTCTTGGCTTCTCGGGACAGAAGGCTCACATTGCTTACGTGGCCCTTCTCCACCGACTGACCTGCAGACCCCGTGCGGTCCCGGTCGGCGCTCCCTGGGCCTTTCCGCAGAAACCGGCAAACTGACTGGCAGTCAGAACAGCCTCGAGGACTCCGTTGCAGGACTTGTCCTGCCAACTGCAGACTCCTGAGGAAGCTGGAGTGAACCGCGTGCCTGATACACCTGAAACAGGCACGGAGTCCAAACGATGAGAGGAAGGGAAGTCTTCTCGGCAAAACTGGACTGAACAACTGGGTGTCAAAACGGAAAGGAAACAGTGCCGTGTACCCCGGATGCCGGGCGGGACTCACGATGGATCACGGGCCTGAACGTGGAGGCTGGAGCCGTCTGGTCTCTGAAGGAAACAAGGAGGGACGTTCATGACCTTGGAGGGGGCAGAGATTCCCAAGGGCATAGAAAACCCCGCCTTAAGAGAAAAACATAATAAATTTGACTTCGTTGACATTTAAAACTTCATTCAAAAGGCCCAGTTAAGGAAGTGCAGGCCCCAGACTGGGAGAAATCTCTGACAAAGGCCTGCGTCAGTTCCAGGCAGACAACCCAGTTAGAAAGGGGGCAGGTGACTTGCAAGGAAAACACTGCGTAGAAGAGTATGTGCAGGTCGGCAGCGCGGCCAGCACGGGACCGGGTGCTCAGCACCGTCGGCGTCTCGGGGAAACGCAGGTTGAACGCCAGCGGGGCGCTGCTTCACACGGGAAGAAGGGCTGGAAGCAAGACTGGACCATACTCAGTGTGGACTGGCGAGTGAGCGGCTGCGATGCGGCGGGGGCGGGGACGGCGCCACGCGGGGAGCCGCCCAGTGTCTGGTGAAGTTAGACACACGCTGCCCCGTGGCCCGGCTGCGCCCGTCCCAGCTGTTCACACACCATCAGCACTTGACCACAAAAGCAGCTTGATTGCAGTCGCCAAAAACTGGAAACAACCCCAGTGTCTGTGGACAGGAGAGAGGCTGAACACAGGACAGCAGATCCACAGTGTGGTCCTCCCCACAGCGCAGAGACCGAGCCCCTCCCGGGGAACCACAGGGACACCACTGGGCAGAAGCTCCCGTTTACCCACAGGCTTCAGCTACGTGAGAGACATCACAGCAGCGGGCACCGTCGCGGTGCGGAAGGGGGAGCAGGCGACTGAAAGCAGCAGCGGGGGTCCTCCTGGGGCTCTCCCGACCGTGACGAGTCTGCGTCTCACTGCGTCTGCGACCTCGCCAGAGCCCAGCGGACAGCACGTGAGACCTTTGTGTTTTGCTGGATGTACAGCACGCCTCGGTTTTAAAAAACAAAAAAAAGGATCACTTAATTCCTTAAGCAAATGCTTAGAAGGTTTTGTCACGTGAGGTCAGGCTGTCGTGCTCGTGAACCTGGTTCACCGTTCGGGAGGGCTCGCCTGCCTTTTATGACGTCAGCCACGGCAGCTTGGCCAGACTGGGGGCTTAGATCATTCGGACGGACTTCACATGCTGCTAAATAGTGTATTTTTGGGAATGCTGCTTCCTGTGAAATCCCAGCCATGGGTTTACAGACACTAGAAGTCACCTGACCTCCGCAGTTTAGGAAGTAGGCCTGCTCTGTGAGTCTCCCCCTGCACCCAGCCCAGGCACAGCCTCTCCTGCCTGGCCCGCCCTGTCCTGGCTGTCCAGGGACGCACTTCCCGGGGCCTTCTGGTCCTCGACGCAGAGCCAGGAGGCCACGCCCCGCCGGGGGTGGGACCAGCCTGCGCCCCTCCTTCCTTCGTCGAGGCCCTGGAGCTGAACCCGCACTCCGCAGATTGAGGGGCGGGGGCACCAAGGAAATGCCCTGGTGCGCGGCAGGGCAGGGTGACAGGTGAACTGGTCCAGGGGGTGAGGAGGCGCGTGGACAGGCCCTGGGTGCCTCCAGGTCAGGAGGGGCTGTGAGCCACCCCAGTCCTGAGGAGCCAAGAGGGGTCTGAGCTGAGCAGGCAGTGACCCCAGGGTTTCTGTACTAATGCCGCTGGTACTGGAGGACTTGAGGGTCTGTCCGCGAGGGTGCGGGCAGGTGGGGAACATGAAGCGGGCCTTCCAAGGTCCCGTTCCTGTCCCCTCACCCAGCAGCTCACGGCTGGGGATTTCCCTGGAGGGGGAAGGGAGGGGAGACAACAGAAACTGTCGGTGATGACATTTCCCTGCAAAGAGTAGCCCAGCTGACCTGCGCGGGGCTCCTAGAGGGTGGGTGACCAGGGCCTGTCCCAGGAGGAACAGGGCGGGGGGCTGGGCCGGCGCTCTCACCGCCCACAAGTATCCTCTTGTCTTTCTCGCTGTGTTTAGTGGGTGGGAAGGGGGTCCCAGGGCAGGCTGTGGGGTGGAGTCAGACCTGCAGGAAGCGCAGGGGCTGCTGTCTGGGCAAGAGAGCAGAATGGGCTCGGTGAGTGCAGGCCGTGGGTCCCCGGGGGAGGAGGACCTGGGGGCGTTTCTGACGTGAGACCGGCAGGCCTTGGAGAGGGGAGGCCCTGAGCGAGGCACGGCTGTGGAGGGAGAAGGGCCCTAACCTGGCGGCCCGGGGCAGCGTGCCCAGCGCTCTGCCATCGGCCTGTCCCCTGCGCACCAGGAGGGCAGACACGCTGGGCTCTGTGCGTGCGGTGCTTTTAATAACTTCCCATTTCTTACTGGAAATTCCGGTTTACTCAGCGTAAATGAGCAAGCAGCACAAACAGCGCTTGGCTACTGGATTTTAAACGCAGATGAAGTGCTGACTGTTTTAAGCCCCACAGGCACCGGCCTCAGGACTGCCAGGCGGGGAAGGTGGTCTGCGTTTCACTCCTGCACAGCTTTTATTTTGCTGCATCCATCAGTTTGTAGTTAAATAAGTCATGTATGGTTTTTAAAAGGAGTTAACGTGTAGAGAAAGGTGAATTGTCCAGCTGTCCCTTGGGAAGCCCCCGAAACGCGTTCAGAGCCGGCGTGTGCCCTTGTCTAAACCTGCGTTCCTTCCAGAAGCCCCCACGAGAAGAAGAAGAAGAGACGCTCGCGGTCCCGGACCAAGTCCAAGGCCGGGTCTCAGCCAGCCTCCCCCAGCAAGCAGGCCACGCGCCGGCACTCAGCCAGCATCTCTCCCGTGGAGAGTCGGGGTTCCAGCCAGGAGCGCTCCAGGTAACACCCCCCCCAACGGCTGGGCCGCAGGGCGCTTCTCATGGGGTGCGGGACGGGGCGGGCTGCAGTCCCCCCACATCCTCCTCCAGGGTCCCCCAGGCTCTGAGTGAGCGGAAGGTGGGCACTGAGGACCCCAGAACCAGGGCCCAGCCCCGGCAGCACCCTTACAGAAGCGGCCTCCCCTGCCCCTGCCCCTGCCCGGGGCAGAGGGAGCCCGGGAGCAGGTGTGGGGCAGGCCCCTCCTGCGAGCAGGCTTCCTGTTGTCCAGGCAGCTGGGAAACCATGCAGCGGAGACAGCAGCCATTCCCCCAGCCGGCATTTCTCATCACCCTGATGATGGCTGCGGCGTCCTCACTGGGCCACGGAGCCCAGTGTGGTCAGAGCCGGGCGCAGGCCCCGGGGTCCAGGTCATGGGGACGTAGAACCGCCTGTCCACCCATCCCTCACTGAGCCAGAGCAGGCGGGGGCCAAGCCGTCCCTTCTGACGTGCAGGCTGCAGGAATGTCGGATCCCGCGCTGACTGTCACAGGGTCACCCTGGTCAGCCGCGTAGACACAGGCGTCCCCTGGCCGGCACAAGTGGCTCCCCCTGACCGGCCACCCGTGGTTGTCGGGAGGCGTTCGCCAGACAGCCCTGTTCACGAAGCCGGGGCCCCACCCAGAGCCAGGGCGGGGTCGGCGTCCTCGGGGACCCGTTCTCCCATCCCTGCTTGTAGACCTGTCGCTTCCTAAGTGTGGATCCCAGGCACCCCCCAAAACCAGAACTTGCAGCGGATCAGAATCTACGCTGTAGCGTCTTTATAGGCAGGACGTGCGTGATCGCAGGCCCGGCCCACGGTTGTGTCACCTCCCCACCGGGGGTCCGGGCGGCGGCCCCTGGCGCCTGCTGCTTCTGTCCTTTCCTCCATATTTTTGTCAGTTTGTTTCTTATGTAATGTTCATATGAAAATATTTTTGAGTTAGGTTGCATTTTATGAAATATTTCAAATGTATGTTACATAAAATATAAAAGTAAAATACATGTATATGATGTTGATTTTTTAAGATACTGGAAACAAAATCAAGTGGCTTTTTAGGCCTCTGACCTCTCTCTACTTGCATTAGGGGAGTTTCTCAGGAAAAAGACGGTCAGATCTCCTCGGCAATCGTCTCTTCCGTACAGAGCAAAATCACTCAGGTGAGGCGGGGTGGTCTCTCGTCCCCCTGTGTCTGTGTGAGGGGCTGGTTCTCACGGTCTGTCTCCTAGTCTCAGGGGGACTGACGGGGTCCTGGGCTGGTCGCCCAGAGGCGGGTGGTGTCGCCATTGTCCCTGACCCTCCCTTCCCGGGGCAGCTGTGTGGCCTGTGAGCCAGCCTCAGGACCCAGCGGTGGGGGGACAGCGCCCTGCCCCTGGATGTGGTCACAGCCACCAGCACGTCTCCCCAAGCCTCCTCAGGGTCCTTACCCACTAACACTTTCATAAACGGCTTCACCGTGTGGACCGTCCTTCCCGAGTCCTGACGGAGCCCACAGACGTCCCCCGTCTCTCCCTGCACAGGACCTCATGGCCAAAGTAAGAGCGATGCTCGCGGCTTCCAAAAACATGCAGACCAGTGCCTCCTGAGACGCCCAGGCCC